CCAGAACCCTTACGTACGCAAGTACCGGATGTCTATAGTTTTACCGTTTTCAGAAGACCTGATTTTTGCATTTGCTTTGTTCTGAATAACGACGTCATTTTTATTACGGGCGCCTTGTCATTACCTATAACTTGTAGCACTTAATTTGTAGTGTTATGCTACTTACTTATCATTTTACATTATTTTAAATTCATTTTTTCGATTTTCTGCATTCACCTCAAAACTGGATATTTTACATCACCTTTATTTCCATAGGATCCTGTAACGATTTTAAACCATAAGAACACAATAACAAATCATTTCTACTTCGTATTTTCACATTATCAGCACTTTTAAATTGGTGTCAATGGAGTCTACCTTTTTTCGATCTTTTATTTAGTTTTCCGTAACTCTGCAATTTCGGGCTTTGTGCATGCAGTTGCGCTACCTTTTTTCCTATATCAATAATATCTCATTTTTCACTTAAATCTTGCCGTTTTTTTATTACAAGCCTAAAACCAAAATTTGACATGTTTTGACATTGTTGTTTATTTGGTCTCTATGGCAATTATATTCAAATTTGCTACCGGTCTGTTGTTTCTATTTCGATAATTCCACATAAATACTCTTTTCTCTTGACCATTTACAAAAAATTTGCGTTTAATTTAAATAATTTTTCCGTTCTCTCTAGAAAGGTATAAAAGCCGAACAATCGGTGAAGAAATTCAGTCTCGCTTCAGTTCTCGAATTGGAAGCATCTCCTAAAGGCCTTATCCCGGGGCCGCACTGCCCCGGGATCCTGCAAGCCTCTGTCCTGCCTGTAGCCACTGGACTCTACGAACCTCTGCTCTACCTGAAGTCGCCGGATCCTACAAACCGTTGCTCTGCCTGAAGTCGCCGGGATCCTACAAGTCTCTGCTCTACCTGGAGTCGCCGGAACCTGCAAACCTCTGTTCCGCCTGAAGTCACCGGAACCTGCATACCTCTGTCCCGCCTGCAGTCACCGGATCCTGCAGGCCTCTGTGCTGTCTGAAGTCGCTGAGGATGCTGCAAGCCCCTGTCTGGCCTGAAATCGCCGGATCCTGCAATCACCGCATTCACCTGAGGTCGTCGCCTAGAGACGCCCACGCCTTCTCACCTACGCCGTGCGTGCTCGTTCCAGGCGCTGAGAGCACACTTTGGATCTTCAGACTCAGTCTCGACACTAATCTCCTTTTTTTATTACCTTTTTTTAAAATAATTTGTAAATCACATCATCCATCCTCATTTTCATACTCCATTTTTGTTATATAAAATTGTAAATATCTTTTGAATCTTAAATATATTATTTGTTTTTGTTGTATTTTTGTTGTTTTGTTGCTCTTAGGTTAGATTCTTTTTGTTCTTAATTGTCGCTTCACGACAAATTCCTTGCTATTAATATTTATCGTATATTTTTTATCGTCACTGTGTTGCTGGCGATACGTTTTGCCAGCAAACGCAAATTTCAATAGTTTGTTTCGGTGAAAATTTTAGAGCATCTAATATTTAAACTTGGGACCTTACCAGCACGTAAAAAGCCCCTAATTTTGGCTTGATCTAAATGCAAATTCCTGACTGCGTTGCTGACGACACACAGCCACGGAACCTTATGAATATTAGATATATTACCATGGGCGCAGCGGTAGAAAATAAAGACTTGGATGTGTTGTGAAATGAGCCCATTCGGTGGGCTCGATCTAGAATTCCGGTATCTTCATGAAGGTGAAGTTGATTTCAAAGTCTTAGCGAATATTATATTGCCATATATATGTATATTATTTCACCTTTTATCATCCATTTCTTTTTACATTTTTGCTGCATTGTCTTTTATAAGTCTTTTGTAAGTAAGCTTTGTCTTGGGGTAGACTAGGACAGAATCCGTTGTCATTAAATCCGCCATACTTGCTACATTTTATATAGAAAAGGCGGCAAACGAGAATGCAGCTCATCTCACTCACACTTGACACATACAACACATATACCCGCCCACCCCGCTCATGAACAACTGCAACACTAAGGGAGTCGCAGGTGAGTTTGCCGGCCTTTAAAAAAGTAGAGGCTCTTTTCTTGAAGGTGCCTAAATAGATATCCGCAGTAGAATCAGAGTAACTGACATAGCCTAACGGATCAGTAAGCTGAAGTCGCAACGGGCTGGCTATATAGCTCGAAGGATGGATGACTGACTGATGGGGAAGAAAGGTTCTCGAGTGGTAGCCTCGTACCGGTAGGCAAAGTGTAGGGCGTCCACTAAATGTAGTGACGACCTGGTAAGACATGCAGGAAGTTGATGGATGCAGGTGGCTCAGGACCGTGCTTCGTGGGCTATATTCGGCAGTGGACTTGTGAAGGGCTCTAATGAATGAAAAAATAAAAAAGTTTTTTTTATAGGATATGGTGACAAACGGGCACACAGTACCGACTGATGGTAACTGGTTGCTGTGACCCCTAGACATCTACATCGATTCTCAATAAATAATCAAAATGCAGATGCGTTATCACCCGTGAGGACTAAGATGGAATGCCTCTTTTCCAGTAAAAAGGGTCTCCAGTTCTCTATACTCACCATACGAAACAGCAGTGTTAAGCTGAACGCACATTTGTCCACGCCGCACGCGCCGTACGCGCCGAATTTTAGAATTCGTTGTATGAAATCATATGAAACCTCGCACATTACACCCGCACCGTATGCGCCGAATATTATAAAATGCGGTAGGCATACGATATCGAAGGACGAATGCTGATGACGTCATATAACGCGGCGCGTTTGGCGCGTGTTGATGCTCAGTGTTGTCTAATGTTGCCAACTTAGTGGATTTCCCACTAAAACTGGTGGTATATTTTTTAAGTGTTAAATGTACACTGCGGTTAGAGGTTGGCAGAAAAATGCTGCAACGAAATTGAAATTCCGATAAATGTGAAATGAATACTTAGTGATAAATTATGTAAATACATAAAATAAATTGATAGTGAATTTTAATTCAAAAACCCAATTATACCTGATTACTTAATTATCAATAAAATACTTACCTCAAACATACAACAAGTCTTTCCTCTGGTTCAATTGGCCTTCTAAATTTTGAGTTTTCCATAGAAAGATATGGTTTTAATATATGTAACAATTCTTGAAATTCCTTATATGTTAAATGCAAATGTCTAAAAAATCGTTCATCATCATATAACAAGTCTTTAAATAAAGTATAATACACTCCATACAATTGCCTTTTTAAATTAATACTGTTACGAGCTTGGGGTTCGAGACAATTAAAAACTGCCGATTGAATTACCAAGATTGACACTTTAATTACACAACACTAATTACAATCTAAAACCAAACTAATAATAAAACACAATCACTTTAGTTCGCAGTTATTTCGCTTCGAAGTATTCTCTTGTATCGCCAATTCAATACTGCCTCCGTCGTGGTGTATACCGGCCTTATATAGGGCCTCAGATAGTTTCCAGAATCTTCTACTGTAGCGACATCTAGAATGTTCGAGTACATATCGGTCCCAAAATTTCTGGAAGGATCATGACTCTCCTAGTTCTGCTACTCGATACTAGAGGGAGCTAGTGTAACTAGTGTTGCCATGTACAAAACATTAATAGTGGCACGCAACAATACGAGTACTATGAATCCAGAATCTTTTTTTTCTTCTTCCTCTGCCAATAAGCAGGCTTATTACAATATTTTTCCATAGTGATTCCGAGCGATAATGTCTTCAATCTAATCTATCTAATGTACCGTTTCACACCAGTGGTTGGAAAAAACTGCAAGAGTTGTTGGCAATCCAAAAGATTGGCGGACGGTGCGTACGTGCAAGTGTGCGAGGCCATCAGTAAAATTCGGCGCGTACGGCGCAGACAAATGTGCGTTCAGCTTTAAGCTGCTATTTTACGCTGGTATTCTGTGAGAGCGTGGTCCTTCCCCGGTCGAGCCGACCCATTCGTGCTACAACTATACTACTAATATAGCTGTAGCATGTCTGTACCACGTATAATTTTTTTTATATATATGCTTGTATATTACTATTACTTTACCTTGAGTCGTTTGTGGGAAGGGCTATAGAAATCCGGCCTTCAATAGATGGCGATGATACCGTTTTGTATATATCAGATGTAAAATATCGAAGAAATTAGCTATGAATTTTAGAATAAACGAAATACCACTGACTCACTAACTTATCACGAGATCTCCAAAACTATACGCTCGATTGACTTGAAATTTGGCATTCTCAACGTAGTCACCCACTAGAAAGGATTTTGCAAAAAAATATATCGATATTTACAGGCATTCCAAATTAGTCCTCTGACAATTGAACTAAATTTTGATTCTTCACAGAGGACATATGTAGATGTGTGTGTTTAGGTATTTACTAATTATTAGGCGGCTTCTATGCTCGTTCGTTTCCTTTACTTGATATTAAATAAAAATGAATGAAATTAAATAGGTTTTAGTTTCAAATTCTTTATTTTACATTTTATGATAGTGTCCCATCCATTCAGTTGTTCACTCTAAAGCAGGTAAACAATTAACAAAACTCACTAGCAAACGGTTTGATTTCATAGTAATGATAGATATAGAGGCGAATGGCATACATGTAAGTCAGCAGTTGGGTTCTTTGAACCAAGTTAATGAGCCCATTTACAATTATCTAAGTTCACAGAAGCGACGGATGAGTCCGATAAATTTGCTTGCATTTCAGTTGATTTAACACTTGAGATCCTTAAAAGCAGGTGCATGAACTTGTTGAGTCAGCAGTTGTATTTATTAAATAATTCAGTTAAGTTTTTGATTCTGCATGTGTCCGTTTAGGGAGTTGATGAATTTATCGAACTGCGAGACTAGTGAGTCAAACAAGCGAGTTTCATGACCCGGCAGAAAAGTGCGTTCAGTTCTTTGGGCCGACAGTTGAGTTCGTGGAGTTCGTAGAGTCGGCAATTGAGTTCATCGAGTCCGTTGAATAGGGAAGCGAGCTCGTTTAGTTTCCTGTGCTCTGTGGCTAAGTGTTGTCCCGCCTCTGCTTGCGCGCCTGCAGAACATCGCGGAACTGCGCCAATATCGCGTTCTCCCGCTTTGCGCGTTCCTCCTTGCTGAAGGCGGCCAGCGCTCGCTTTTCGTCCGCAGAGTAGATCTGGTTCTCTTTGCGGATACGCACAGCCTCCATACGCCGGTGTCTGTTAAACAACAATTTCATTAATCGCACGAACATAATGTCCTTCTCCAGACCGAATTTCAGTCACGGCAGCTAATCTCAACGGAGACTAGCTATTTACGCAGGACAGGATTATAGTGCACGAGTAAGGCACAAGCACAGGTATCTCTATTCTCTCACTCTCATAGTCCGATGGGACGGTAAACCGACACGACCGGAGAGATCAGGCACAAGCAGGCTATACGTGCTTTCCGAGGCACGGGGATAAGACAACCCCAATTTTCTGACTCCGGGCAGCTACTGAGTTTTTCGACAGAAAAACTCAATAATAGTGTTTTTTGGCCAGCCTAGGATTCGAACCCAGGACTTAACGAACTATTACTAAATAAATAAAAATAGTGCTGTATACACACTAATCATAAGTGATGAACGGTCTATGAAACTTAAATTTAAATCTTTATTAATTCAACAATGTTGATAACTGGCCATGGTTAGATATAGCAAAGGACTCTCCTATTAATAGTATAAAGAATTGTCATTAATTGCTACGCTTTGCAACCATTTTGATGATTGCAATTATATATAATTGCATTTTACATTATATTTACTGTTGCTGATTTATTATTAACATATACAAGCTGGTTGTATCGTCATTTGGTTTGCATTATGAGGTGTGGCATTTATTTATAACACATGTAGAATAAGATGGGATTAAAGTATCTTCTATGCTTCCGAAGAGTAAAGGATCAACTTTTTAATTTCTATTTTTTTTTATAGGATCGAGTGACAAATGAGCACACAGTCCATCTGATGGTAAGTGGTTGCTGTGGTCCTTAGACATCTACATCTATCTTCGTTTGCGAATTAAAAAGCAGATGAAAATGCAGATGCGTTGTCACTCGTGAGGACTATGATGGAATGCCTCTTATCCAGTAAAAAGGGTCTCTGGTTCTTTACAATCACCATACGAAACACAGCAGTGTTAAGCTGCTATTTTACGCTGGTATTCTGTAAGGGCGTGGTCCTTCCCCGGTCGAGCCGACCCATTCGTGCTACAACTATACTACTAATATAGCTGCAGCATGGCTCTACCACGTCATTTTAAGTAAATATATTTTTGCGCTTATCGCGCAACTGATGAGTGTCGTTGTCCTTAGCCAACAAGAACGAAAGTCACCTCATCCCACTCTTTGGTTTGGTTGGAACGATACGCTTATGCGCAGCGGGCATCACGCCCCCACGTTTCAGCCGATAGTCCGCCGAATGCGGTATTGCTGTAAAGCAATTTATGTAGTGACTGTTTCGATCTTATGGATCTCTTCAGTAGTGGGTAATACCACTAGATGGTATTGGCTATTCAGCATACTCTTTCGGGTGTAAAACCACGTATAATTCTATTTACTTAAAATTACTTAATTAAAAACTTTAGTCCATGATCTTCTCCTGAGTTATAAAAAATAAATGCGTGTAATCCCTCCAGGATTACATACATATTTTTTTTATAGAATAAGTAAAAAGCTATAACTTGGGAGCCTGGTGGTATTTAAACTATTAGTATGTTCGTGCAATCATTGGTCTAGTTGTTGTCAGCCCTGAGTACTTAGCTGGAATACAGGGGTTAATAATAAATTAACACTAAATTCTTCAAGGGTAACATGAATGCAGATTTGTCTTTAATCGAGTATTGTATGGTGTTTATGAGATGTTCGTTCGTTTGTTACCCTCACTCCTATAAAGAAAATAATCCACAACCAACCTGCTGCCACTCATGACGTATCCAACTGCTTCGTAAGAAGCGATCTCCTCGGAGGTGAGTCCGATCTCTCCACGGCGAGGGATCCTCTTGCCCTCCGCCACGAACGCCGCCATGGCAGCTCCCTCGCCGGGTAACAACGCGCGACCGAAGTCCTTCGCACCCAGAACGCCAGCACTACGTGGCACTGGACCCACAGTATCCGCACACAGATCTTCGTCTTTCTTGCTCGCTGTACGCGATTGTGAAACGGTTTCTATTTCATGCTCCTCTGCAAAATTAGGGAGAGCAATATTTTAGGTGTAGAGTTACAGTATGAAAACATTAATATTATTTGTTTAAGCCTTGGTTGCAATAGTTAATTTAGTAGAAAACTGGCGATCTTCTTTACTGGAAACAAGGCATTCCATCTTAGTCCTCAGGTGTGACAACCCGTCTGCATTTTGATTCTTAATCAAAGATAAATGTAGATGTCTTATTGGTCACAGCATTCACTTACCATCTGGTGAACTGTGTGCTATCCTCTTTTTTTACAGTAGCATTAAGCTGTTGTTTTACGCTGGTATTCTGTGAGAGAGTGGTCCTTTCCCGGTGGTGCTGACCCATTTGTGTTACAACCATACTATATGGTAGAGCTATGCTGCAGCTATATCATATAATATACGTAAATATGGGTGTAAATGAAAATATATGTGGCCCAAAGCCTACACAATCACAAAGCAAATATCCCATTACTCATCTTTTACGACCTGCTAGGCAAGTAACACTGGTGGCCTATTTTTTTTGTAACTAGTTCTATATAAACATGGGACCTATAAGTCTTAGACTAACATGGGATAAGTATAACACAATGTCAATTAATAATTATTGTTCAATTTAATTCTTTAAAGATCCCTAGTAGTTTAGGGGATAAGCACTGTCTTGAAATTTGTGTGAACTAGAGTTCTACACCCACCTAGCACCACTGAAATTGTTGGATGCACTTTTAAGCACCAATTTACCATGTGCTTCGATGAAGGAAATTGTGAGTAAACTCATTTTCCGCAAGATGTGTTCAAGAAACACAATATGAATAAAAATATAATTGTCATCAGAAAAACAAAAACAAGTAGTTATGTGTTTCAATTAAACAGAATACTCACTTCCTTTCTCCACCCAGATTTCCTCTTCACTACTGGAACTCTTTGATTTCTTCTTCTTAGCTTTTTTACGTGCTTTTTTCACTTTTTTTAATTTCTTTTTTAGCTTTTTTAATTTTTGTTTTGTGTCCTCTTTGTCCTTCGACTTCTTGGACTTTTTCTTCTCTTTCTTCTTTTCAGAGTTACTTGGTTGTGAAGGCTCTTCATCAGAACTAAAAATTAATAATTTAATATTATAACACATCAATTATTATCTTATAAACACAATTATTATCTGTTTCCTCCTCCAAAACTATAAAGAAAAGTTCAGGAACAATTGAAAAAGGATTAGCCACAATCCTTTTTCAATTGTTCCTGAACTTTTCTTGTTTTTATTTTTGCGTGTTTTTATTTTATTTTATGTTTGTTATAAATTTGTTTGCTGGATGTCTGATAACAGTGTTATAATTGTTTTCAGTTATTTTAGTAATTTTTGGAAGGTTCCTATACTTGAAACATAGCAGTGTATACAAGATAGTTAGTTGTAGTGTGAAAAGATATTTGCTCTAGTGTCATTATTCTGAGAGAATTATGTTTATATAAACTAAACAGACTGCTCCGTGGCCCATCGGAATCCCGCACGTTACAGGTATTTGTATGACCTACAAATAATTGTTCCTTGTCTGGATGTTTGTCCTTGTGCAATTTGTGTTTGTAAACTGCTTCCACGATACAGGAGAAAATCCTAGTGTGGGGGTAATGTTTTAAAAAAAAAAGAAAAACACTGCCTGGATATACTCTTAGTTGCAATATTAAGTGCTAATTTATCTCATGCATGTGAGTAATATAAATATAACATGTTTGAAATCTATCAACATGCATTAGGGCAGTATTTACATAACATTATTACAAGGGCAGCACTGAAAATTTCGGGAATCAAGGAATTGACACAACATTACTATTTAAAAATGTATTTATTGCTTTTCGAAGTATTCTCCGCGAAATTAGACACATTTTTACATACGATGGAACCAATCATTGAAGCAACCATTCCATTCGGAAGTTGGGGTCTCCAAAATGGCCGTTTTGTAGGCGTCCACAGCTTCTTCAGGTGATGAAAATCTCTGTCCACGCAATTTATTCTTTATTTTAGGGAAAGTATACAAATCATTAGGGCTTAGGTCGGGGCTGTACGGCGGATGGTCTAATAATTCTATGTTTTCTTGCTCTAAAAACTCTTTTGTGCTGTATGCGGTGTGAGAACTCGCATTGTCGTGATGGAGGATGATGCGGCGGTTGCAGTTCTCTTTACGGAGTTCAGAAACGACCTGTGGCAAACAAATGCTAGCATACCATTCTGCATTAACCATTCTTTGTCCCTCAAGAGGAATAGTCGTAACATGGCCGGTTTTGGAGACAAACGTGGCGACCATTTTTTTTGCAACACTCAATGCACGGACAATTTTTGTTGGCTTTAACTCATTTTCGAACACCCAAACTCGTGACTGGTTTTTTGTTTCGGATTCGTACGCGTATATCCAGGATTCGTCACCTGTTACGATGTTGTATACAGCATTTGAGGATCCTGCGTGGAATCTTTCGAGAGTTTTGACGCACCAAGTAACGCGAGCCGCTTTTTGCTCTTCACAGAGCGAATGCGGTATCCATCGGGAAAACAACTTTTTTACACCTAATTGTTCATGCAAGATTATTTGTACTTGACTCATACCAATGTCTAAAGTTGCCTGAATTTCGCGGTATGTCACATGTCGATCTTCCTCAATCAGCTTACGTACAGCATCAACGTTTTCTTGGGTGACTGCGGTTTTTGAACAACCTTGACGGGGATCATCACTGAGCTTGACACGTCCACGTTGAAATTCAGCAAACCAGCGATAAATTGTGGTTTTGGATGGGGCTTCATCACCAAATGCAGAAATCATCTGGTCTACACACTGTTTTTGTGTTAAACCACTTCGAAAGTTATAATAAATAATCGCTCTTGAATTTTCTCGAGTCAATTCCATTTTCTCAACGACTAAACAAGTTTGACAAAACCTTGTGACAAGACCGAGAATCTTTTTTTAAATAAATAAATGGTATTCGATTTTTAAAACCAAGGACTTTTCAATTAAAAAGATTTTAATATGACAGGAACAGTGGAAATATTCCATTCCCTATACTTTTAGTGCAGCCTATGTATAATATAATCATAATATTTTAACAAAAAATAATTGTTATCTATTACAAAATTTTGAAAGAAATATCAATTCAATAAAATACTGAATTGATTGACAATTTTTTTTTATAGGATAGGGTGACAAACGAGCATGCAGTCCACCTGATGGTAAGTGGTTCCCGTGACCTATAGACATCTACATCTATCCTTAATAAAGAATCAAAATGTAGATGCATTGTCACCCGTGAGGACTAAGATGGAATGCCTCATTTCCAGCAAGAAGGGTCTCTGGTTTTCTACATTCACCATACAAAGCACAGACCAACATAAAATAGCTGCAATTTTATGTTAGTCTTCTGTGAGTGCGTGGTCCTGCCCTGGTCGAGCCGACCTATTTGTGTTACAACTATACTACTAATATAGCTGCAACATGGCTCTACCAATTATAAGAATGAATTGATAATTAAAAAATAAAAATTTGATAGTATGATGCACATTTATCCACAATTTTCATTAATGATGGCTTGCTACCATGGTCGATTCAAACCTGGTGATATTTTTTTTTTAGCAAGATGAGTTTCCACTGCATGCAATGTATCTTAGCCTTGTAATCAAGTCAGCATAAGGAGCCTCAGTTGCTTTCAATTTCAGTGATTGCTATTTCCACTAAGCGCAAGTTGTCAGCTTTGTCTTTTATTTAGATGAATTATGGGTGACATAAACACACAATTAACTTACTCAGGTCTTAAAGGTGACTTTCCCCAAACTGAGGAAACACCAATTTGTCCTATTCTCTCCCTTTCCTCACGTCTTGCATCTAAGAACTCCTCCTCTTGTGGTTTGTATCTGCCTTTTGGTCCAGGTCCACAACTGCCTAGACCTATAACATAAGAATAATTAGGTAACCTACTATATTTTATGAAAACATATCTTGACTTCATATTCGGTTCAAAATCATATCCTCCTGGCCAATCCTCACAATTTTTTATGTTTTGGAAGCATTTACCTACATAGCATATGAAGGGCACAGGGAACAAAGGAGCTCATTGACAATTTTACTTTTTTGGAATGAACTATACCATTTTACTTCGTTTTCTATGGCCAATCAGAGCACATTATTTTAAACACGATAAAAGGCGCCGATTTTGTGTAAAGTGAATTGAATAAAAATGTACTTCAGGATAAAACACGCTCATTGCATTCTATACCGCGTAAAAAGGTGCCCATTGTCTATGAAACCACGCTAGAACGGGCTGATCGCAGCGATTGTAAAAGAAAACGCGCTCATAGTCAGCCATCTGTATTATTTTGTCATACCAATGACAACTGCCAGATAAGCTTCCTTGCATAAATTTTACGACTCCTTTAGTGTACATTAAGTTTTAAAAGTTTTTGCTTATTTATCTCAAAATGGACAATAATATCTAGGACACTCAATAAGTTTTAAGATATACGAAAAGTATTCTAGATATTATTAATATTTATTTTACATCTCTTCAAAATATTCTCCATCATGCTCTATACAAAGTTCCATTCGCGTAAGTCAACTCTGAAAACACTTTTGTAAGTCTTGATCTGCCAGGGCGGAAATCGCTTCTTCGTAGGCAGCCACGGCTTCAACACCAGATTCCTCAATAAATGCTTTTGTTCTAAGGGAGGTATGTTAAGAGGCATTGTCGTGATGCAGCATGATTCCCTGAAGCCCGGTCTTTGGTATTCCTCCCACACAGCTTGAAAAGCTTTGGGTAATGCAACTGTAGTATACCATTCAGAGTTGACTGACCTACAATTATCCAGCATTGACGTCGACAAATGTCCGCTCCGCGAAAAATGATGATTGCCTTTTATTTTCCGGTTCATATTGATAGATCCATGTCTCGTCACCAATAACGATTTCTGAAACACGCCTAGATGCCCCGTTTTCAAAACATAGACGCATTTCATGGCACCAATCGACAGGAGTCTGTTTTTCGCTTTCGGAGAACAAACGAGGGATCCATCGACAACAAAGCTTCCTCACTTCAAGATGTTGATGTAGGATGGTATGAATGCTGCCCGAACTAATGCCTACAATCTTTTCGATGTCCGTATATGTGATTCGTGGGTCCTCTTGCACCAACATTTCAGTAGCTCATACATTTTCTGCCGTTACTGCTGTTTGTAGGGCCCCGGTTCTTTTTTCATCTTTAAAATTAATTTTACCTGAATATATTAACTTACCCCACAAATAAATTTCATACTAATTTGTATTGTATTTTATTTCATTAGTGTGTTTATGTAATTAGACATTGTTTATGATCACCAATTAATTTGTTAAATGTAAAAAGGAGATCATTGTGACAATGAGCCTTTTACATTTGGGAGTTAGGTAATTAAATTACAAACTATTGTTTATTTACCAACCCAATCTTTTAAAATAACAATATATTATGTTAAATATACACTGTTCCTTTTGTTATATGGGTACAAATCATATTCTAGTAGAGTTGTAAGTGTAGAAATTGAAATTTTAGGTTTAATTCTTTAATTACTCGAAACAATGAGAATGTTAATGAGCTCCTTCTTTTCCTGTGCCCTTCATATTATAGTGCCACATGTGTAAGTTATTTCTAAGAGATATTATATATTACATTAAAGCTAAAATTAATATATACTATATTAAAGCATTTCAAGGTGATAGGACTTCTTATCGTCCATAGGAATAATGGTAGGTATATAGGTCGGCATCACTCTCATCCATTTCTTTCACGAGCAGTGCTTGCATTACTGTATAGTCTGAAGAGTATAGATATGTATGAGTTTGATGGCTCCGTAGTGCAGTGGCTTAGCTATGAGTTGCAGCACTGAGAGCTGTGGGTTTTAATCCAGCATGGAATGTAATAGTATTTGTATGGCTACAAATAATTGTTCCGAGTCTGAATGTTTGTCCTTGTGAAATTTATGTATGTAACTGTTTTTTTTAAATAAGCAGTAAAGAGTATAATGACAGGCTATGAGGCATTACACATTTAGTAGCCTCCTTTCTTTCAAGTTGGCTGTAGGTATCCATAACTGTAGTAAGTAGCCTCTTACCATCAGATGCACTATTATTTTGTTTCTCACTTCAGTTTTATAAATATTAAAAAGTAAGGTCTGATTGATGGAAATATAATTTTCCAACCAGGTTTATAATGAAGTTAATTATCATACTGTAGCAGCATTTCATTTGGTAGAGAAAAATGACATTCATACATACCTCCACCGAGCCCACCAAAATCACTATTGAAGTCTCTGTAAGAGCTACGACCACGTTCATGACTGTGATACTGTGGTACATTTTCTCTACTGTCCTCTTTGTGACTGGTTATGTTGTTCTCAGTACGCCGTTCCTTGCTTCGATTCCTGTGACGGTCGCTACTGGGTTCTCGTTTAATTTTGTCCCGGCTTCTACTACAATGTCTATCACGGCTTCGACTACGATGTTTATCTCGACTTCGACTACGATGTTTATCTCGACTTCGACTATGATATCTATTACGGCTTCGACTACGATGTTTATCTCGACTTCGACTACGATGTTGATCACGGCTTCGACTGCGATGTTTATCTCGACTTAGACTACGATGTCTATCTCGACTTCGACTACGATGTTTATCTCCACTTCGACTACGATGTTTATCACGGCTTCGACTGCGATGTTTATCTCGACTTAGACTACGATGTCTATCTCGACTTCGACTATGATATCTATTACGGCTTCGACTACGATGTTTATCTCGACTTCGACTACGATGTTGATCACGGCTTCGACTGCGATGTTTATCTCGACTTAGACTACGATGTCTATCTCGACTTCGACTACGATGTTTATCTCCACTTCGACTACGATGTTTATCACGGCTTCGACTGCGATGTTTATCTCGACTTAGACTACGATGTCTATCTCGACTTCCACTACGTTGTTTGTCTCGGCTTCGACTACGACGCTTACGACTGCCGCTACGATACCTATCACGGCTGCGACTTCGATGTTTCTCTGTGCTGCAGTGACGACTACGTTCACGATCACTCGTCATTTTTTCTTATTTTATTTAATATAGACGGGAGTTTTAAATACTAACTTAATCGATAGTTATATCTCAAATACCATTGTTAGTAAAATTTTATGAAACGTCATCATTTTTGATGAAACACTACTAAACAATAATTACTACACTCTAAACAACAACAAATTACTATGATTTTGACAAAATTTATTAATCAACTCTGGCACAGCGTAAAATTTATTTGACATGACATCGCATTCGCATGACATGACAATTGATTTTTTTTGGAGTATATGGCCTGACATCTAGACCTTTAGGCCAAATAAATTACATAACAATGAGGGCTAATAATCTTCCACTCACCAGATGTCGCTAGTTGTGACTGAGGTAAAATTTTTTGATACACAATGTCAGTTAATTGAGAAATTAGTTTTAAATAATAGTTTATCATTATCTAGAGTATTATATTAATACACAACACAATGTGTCAGTGGTTTGATTTTTAATTTTTTGCACATTATAACTCTTTTTTTTTAAAAAGTCGTCTTTTAGTTATATTTATAGTTTGGTTTATTCATTTCTAATGTAATTAATATAAAATATAACTAATAATACATAAAGAAACCTTAAAGTTTACATTTTCCTAAGAAATTACATCCCCGCTATGAAATCTGTCAAATATTTTACCTTACTCTAAAGTGGCGCCGCCCTGGTGGCAGAAAAAGTCATGGATGCCCTCATTGATTTTTTTGAAGGTTATGGCCTGGTATCTAGACCTTTAGGCCAAAGACAAATTCACCAGTGCTGCCAGCGTGGCCTTAATCCCGCTTTTCACTATTGGATATAATATAAAATATATTACATCTCGAGATATAAATTAATATTGCTCACCATACATTTCCTATAGAAGCGTTTACACTGAGCTATAATATATATTACATCTCAAGGTAAAAATATTTTTTCGATCGACCGAGCGATATTTTCATATTATATTTCGCCCCCTGTACCCCGCACACCGTTCCGCGCCCCCGCATAAGGTGTATGGGGTAAAGGGGGGTGTTACGGCCTACGGCTGTTCCCATAAAGGTCAAATCCTCAGAGGCCCATTCAGCTGAGTTTCGACGAGCAGACGTAGGTCGGGCCTCCTAAGGCCAAAGTGGAAAATCTCTAGTTACACTAAACTATATGGGGGAGCGTTCTATACTACGGCCATTCAACCGGGAGAATATTAGACGGAGCTTACATACCTATATCCAAGGCGACTGGTCCCTCCGGAGTCGGTCAGGTCGCATGTGGTTGTGTCATCATCATCATCATCATTACAGCCTTTCATAAGTCCACTGCTGAACATAGGCCTCCACCAAGGAATGCCACAAAGCACGGTCCTAAGCCACCTGCATCCATCGACTTCCTGCATATCTTACCAGGTCGTCACTCCATTTCGTGAGGGGTCGCCCTACACTTCGCCTACCGGTACGAGGCTGCCACTCGAGAACATTTCTTCCCCATCGGTTGTCTGTTCTTCGAGCTATATGACCGGCCCACTGCCACTTCAGCTTACTAATCCGTTAGGCTATGTCGGTTACTCTGGTTCTACTGCGGATATACTCATTTCTAAGTTTATCACGCAGAGAAACTCCGAGCATAGCCTCTCCATAGCTCGCTGAGCGACCTTGAGCTTCCTCATACGGCCAGCAGTGAAGGACCACGTCTCAGTTCCGTAAGTCATCACTGGCAACACACACTGGTTGTACTATTTCGTTTTAAGATTTTGAGGTATGTCTGACGAGAAGATGTGTCGTAGCTTCCCGAACGCTGCCCAGCCGAGTTGAATCCGTCGATTGACCTCTCGGTCGAAAATGGACTTACTTAGTCGGACTATTTGTCCCAGGTAAACATACTCGTCAACAACTTCGAGCTTAGTGCTCCCAACAACTACCGGCATAGGTGTGACATGGACATTAAACATAATCTTTGTTTTGTCCATGTTCATCTTAAGACCTATCCGTTGGGAGACACTATTGAGGTCATTGAGCATAGTACTTAGGTCCTCCAGCGATTCTGCCATAAGGACTATATCGTCGGCAAATCGAAGGTGAGTGATGTACTCGCCATTGATGTTAATACCGTATCCTTTCCAGTCCAGAAGTTTGAAAACGTCTTCCAATGCAGCGGTGAAGACTTTCGGGGATATAACATCACCCTGTCTTACACCTCTCTGCAATTGGATAGGTTTCGTACTCTGGTTCTGTACTCGGATAGCCATAGTAGCTCTACTGTACAAACACTTCAGCACTTCGATATACCGACAGTCAACTTGGCACCGCTGAAGGGACTGCAGCACCGCCCAAATTTCGACGGAATCAAAGGCTTTCTCATAGTCCACATACGCCAGACATAGTGGCAAATTGTACTCTTCAGAATTCTGTACAATTTGCCGAAGGGTATGTATGTGGTCTATGGTGCTAAAGCCCTTTCGGAAACCGGCTTGTTCGGGAGGCTGGAAGTCTTCAAGTCCGCACTTCTGCTCCACGCCTCCAGTGTAATGCCACCATGGAGGACGGAATTAAAGAGCTTCTGAAGGACTTCAAGTACCGGTCTTCCACCCGCTTTCAGAAGCTTCGCTGTAATTCCATCCTCGCTTGGGGCCTTGCCGTTTTTAAGGTGCTGGAGAGCCATTCTAATCTCGCTCACACTGACGTCCGGGATATCTTCGGAATAGCGTCGGATGAGACTCGCTCTTGGATCGTTACTCACACTTGCGTGTGGCTCCAACGATGACGTGTACAGCTGCCCATAGAACCTCTCAATCTCACTCAAAATCTCAGGTGTCCCGGAAATGATGCTGCCACATTCGGTCTTCAGCTTTGACAGTTGGCTCTTTCTGGCACACAGATCTCTGGCAAAGAGTTTGGAGCCTTGGTTCTGCTCGATCGCTTCTTCAATACAAGCTGTATTGAAGTTGCGTAAGTCCCGCCGCATGCATTTGGAGATCTGTCTGTTCAGTTGCCTGTGTGCTGTCAAATCTGTTGAAGAATATAGCTTCATCTCCCGTCTAACAGCCATGAGATTAAGAGTGTGATCGGAGCGTTTTTGTGTTCTTCTGCGGCGGGTCTTGCAGAACTTAGCTCCGACCGCATGGGCAGTTTCCACGAGCTTGTCGTTCATATCGTCCACTTCATTGCAGTCTTCTAGGCACAGAAAACGGTTTTGTAACTCGAGCTGAAAGGTTTCGGGACTTTGGAACAGAGCACGAGGGGGACGGAGTGTTGACTTCATTAGACGCGACCTCTCCAACTTAACGTTTAGGTTCAGTGTGCCTTTAACCATTCGGTGATCGCTACCAGTTTTCACCCTCGCGATCACGGAGACATCACTGAACAGTTGTCGTCTGGTCGTCATAATGAAGTCAATCTCATTTTTTGTCGAACCGTTGGGGCTCGACCAGGTCCACTTCCTGTGGGGCCGCTTCTGGAAGAAAGAGTTCATCATAAAGAGTCCCTCTTTCTCCATGAAGTCGGCCAGCTGCTGGCCCCTTGGGTTACGTTGCCCTAATCCAAATTTCCCTACTTTCAGCTCATCGTTCTCTCTTGTGCCTAGTTTTGCATTGAAGTCTCCCATTAACATCGTATATTGGGTTTTGGAGGAATGCATGGCTCTAGAGATATCCTCATACATTTCTTCCACCTCCTCATGGGAGTGTGCCGAGGTTGGTGCATAAACCTGTATGACCTTCAGCGAATATCGTTTGGTGATTCTGAGTATAAGGTACGCAACCCTCGTCGACACACTCCCGATCTTTACAACGTTGTTAACGAGAGACTTGTGGACGATAAATCCGACACCTCCTTGGGACAGATGGTCGCCCTCCCGGTGATAGAGCAAGTTGCCGGATTCGAGGATTACCGTGTCCTCCCCCTCTCTTCGGACTTCGGATAATCCTATAATATGCCAGCGCAACTTGTCTATCTCTTCTTCCAGCTCCACGATCTTCTCGTCAGTCCTCAGGGTGCGTGCGTTGTACGTTGCTAGGTTGAGTCGTCTAAGGTGGCAACCGAACCTCCACCGGAGATTCTTAGCACCCCCTGCCCCGCCGTTACCATGGTCGCCACCGTAGCCAGGAATAGCGGGGCCGCCGGGGACTGGGGGCCGTCTGTTTGTTGCTTTGATCATTGAGGGGTATTTGCCATAGTTGCCACGCTTGGCGAGCGGGTTGGCAACCGCAGTTTTTTTATTGTAATTCCAAAATTACAATAAAAAAACTGCGGATGGGCAGCAGCATCTTCCTGATAATAGCCAACTATTATCAGGAAGATGCTGCTGCCCATCTTCTGCCTGTTTCCCCATGTCGCCTTTTACGACACCCACGGGAGGACATGGTGTAGTGGATATTCTTGACCGCCACTACACGGCACTGTAGTTGTGTAGTGCAAGGGAAATAAGGTGCTGTGACGTGTATCTGGGTGTGACTGATGGTGATTGACCTTAGTAGACCTTGGCCGTCGGCAGCAGCCCGAGCATCAGCACCGTTCCAGATTGAGGTAATCTTCCGCAGCGCAGTCCACAGTTACTTTCCTCGTTCGTCACGATGACAGTCCATTAACTCTATCGTACTATTAACTAAATTACAGAAGCCACTAACTCTCATTTGTTATAAAGCCTAGCACACAAAATGGACAGGGAGTGTCGGGATCAAAAGTCACTACCGCTTCGCGTAGCAACAGTTATTTCTAGACTATCAAAGGCCGCTTTAACTAATATTGTCGAATGCACTTATACAGATTCTGAGTCCGACAAAATGAGTCCCTGGGAAGCTCTCCAGCAAGGAATGCGCGTCACAAATCCTAGACAGAATATTTACTATCCGCGCCTAATTATTCCGAGTTCCCGAACAAAATTGACAGTGTGCTGAAGTTAGCACAGCTGGCAGACGACTGCTGCGCTTGCGCGTTCTACGCACGACCGAATGTCAAACCTATATGGCACCAAGCCGCGCGCCCTCTGACGTCGATTTCGAAAACAGCGTTTGGCGCGAACAGAGGGTAATCCAATGACCAATGACGAACGTACACTGGTTAAAAGATATATCTCACAGTGTGAAAGCCAATCGCGGGATATACTTTATATTTCGGGATATAATATATATTATACCCCATAGTGAAAAGCCAGCCTTACTGAAAACTTCCATAGATTATTATTATTATGGGGTATCTATAAAGTTTTCTCATCTGGTTGGGCTGTATAAATA